GGGGGGGGGGTGCAGAGCGCCCAGGGGCTGGCAGGAAGCAGCGGGGGACACAGGATATTGGACCTAGATTGTCATCCTGGTTTATCTCTTTCTGTTTACTGAAAGCCATTTTTCTTTTCCTCTTCTCCAATTACTGCTTGGTTGTCATTCTTATCTTGTTTCTTTAATTTTGTCTCTGCTTTGCTGATTTCTGTGGCTCTGCCAATGTCACTCTGTCCCTCTCTTCCTCTCTCCCTTGCCTCTTCCTCGGGTTTCTATCCCCCAACCCCCCGAGTCTCTGTCCCTCTCTCTTTATCTCTGGGTCTCTGTCCCCTCTTTCTCTGAGCCTCCATCTTCCTCTCCCTGGGCCTCATCCCCCTCTCTCTGGGTTCTTCTCCTCTCCCCACCCTCACCCCTCCCAGTCTCTACTCTTCTCCTTTTCTGCACGTCCATTGCTTTCTCTCATCCTCTCTGTCTCCTCTCATCTCCCTGCATCTGTCTTGGGCCCCTTGTCTTTTGCTGCAGCCTCGGGTGACCCCCGAAGGTGAGTACATACCCCTGGACCACCGGGACGTGGACGTGGGCTTCGATGGCGGCACGGATCGCATCTTCCTGGTGTCTCCCATCACCATCGTGCACGAGATCGACTCCTCCAGTCCCCTCTATGAGCTGGGGCGTGCGGAGCTGGCCCGGGCCGACTTCGAGCTGGTGGTCATTCTCGAGGGCATGGTGGAGGCCACGGCTATGACCACGCAGTGTCGCTCTTCCTATCTCCCCGGTGAGCTGCTCTGGGGCCATCGTTTTGAGCCCGTCCTCTTCCAGCGTGGCTCCCAGTATGAGGTGGACTATCGCCACTTCCACCGCACTTACGAGGTCCCGGGGACACCCGTCTGCAGCGCCAAGGAGCTGGAGGAGCGGGCAGAGCGGGATTCCCACAGCCCCAAGCCTAGCTTCCCTGACTCGCTGACTGCATTTTGTTACGAGAATGAACTCGCTCTGAGTTGCTGCCGGGAGGAAGAGGAAGCCAAGGAGGGAGATGAGTCGGAGGCAGAAGAGGGGGCTGCCAGCCCCCGAGTACTCACCCCGACCCTGTCTCTGACCCTGCCCCCATGAGGCCAGCTGCTGTCCCCCATTTGTATCCCCTTCCCAGAGGTAGCAAAACGGAGAGCCCGGGCCCTCTCCTGGGACCGACGGGCCTGCTGGGTAAATTATTAGCTGGTGAAGTTCTGCCTGCCTAGTGGACCCACCGTGGACACACTGGATCTGAATTCCTCTGCGTTGTGTGCTCCCGCCTGAGACCCCTGTATCGGCCTGATTCCTGAGTCTCACCAGAGCTAAGGGATCCAGGATTCTGGACCACCCAAGAGGCAAGGACTGGTGGTTCTAGATTCTTCTATATGGCTGGCGTGGGTTGTTGAGCAGGGTCCGGAATCAGGGAATCAGTGACATAGACTGCCTCTGGGGCGAGAAGTCAGCAGTTCTCAACCAGCAAATGAGATCGAGAGTTTATAGGCCTGGATTGGTTTAATATTCAAAGGACTCTTGCGTCTTGGCTCAGCCAACCAAAAAGCAAGTCATCTTTTTCGAGACCACCTCAGGAGGAAAAAGTATGGAACGCTCCAAGAATTCAGGACTAACTTGATTGACCTGGAATGTTGACTGCCAGTCAAGAAAAGACCTGTGATTCCAGAAAGCCCATGTTTTGAGATTGTTCATCTAGACCAGTGGTCGGCAAACTGCGGCTCGCGAGCCACATGCGGCTCTTTGGCCCCCTGAGTGTGGCTCTTCCACAAAATACCACGTGCGGGCGCGCACGTACAGCGCGATTGAAACTTCGTGGCCCATGCGCAGAAGTCGGTTTTCGGACAAACGAAACAAGTATACAAGACGAGTGTGGATGGGAGAGTTGGAAGGGGTCGACCTCAGCGAACGGACCTCAATCAGATGGAGGATGTTATTAGCAAAGGCCAGCTTAGGAGTCCCCTAATGAAGTTAATAACAATGTACCTACCTATATAGTTTAAGTTTAAAAAATTTGGCTCTCAAAAGAAATTTCAATCGTTGTACTGTTGATATTTGGCTCTGTTGACTAATGAGTTTGCCGACCACTGATCTAGACTGACCTTAGATAGTATAAGTACTCCAGAAACTAAAGAGTTGTGTGTCTAGAATGCACAAGACAACGGAGAGTCTGCTGGTCTAGGACTGCAGTGACAGATGGGGAGTTCTTGATATTAGATAACTCCAGACCAGTGGCTACAGAACGTCAAAGCAAGGGGAGAATCGATGCTTCTAAATGATCCACTGGTGTGTGCTTTTTTAAAGTGCCATTCTAGAATGTCCAAAGGAACCAAGATTCCGTGGCTCTGGATCGACCACAGAGTCAGGGAAGGAGTGGCGATCCTAGACGACTTCTCTGTGGTTCTGAAATGCCAAAAGGAACCAAGGCTTCAGGGAGCCAGAGTTTTCCATGATCGAAACCCGGAAGTTCTAAGCGGCTCCTGTAACAGTTGGACTCAGGACTTGATAGACAGCATTTCTGGGCTGACCTGAAGGTGAGGGCCCAGACAAGACCCTGCGGGTAACAGGGCTAGTGGACGGGCAAGGGAAGGGAGGGGGCCATGGCTGGCGAGTCTACAATGCTCTGGAACCCTACACCTAGTGATGTGTATCTATTTCTTAAAGATGTAATATATGTGTGTATGATCTATATATATAAAAGCCCAATGACTGAACAGTAGAATGACCAGAACGGCCGGTCAACCTTTCGCTATGATGCGCACTGACCACCAGGGGGGCAGACGCTCAACGCAGGAGCTTCCCCCTGGTGGTCAGTGTGCTCCCACAGCGGGTCAATCCCCGCAGGCCATGCCCCCCACCAGTGCACAAATCTGTGCACCGGGCCTCTAGTGTATAATATAAATACAGATATATATATTTCCCCCCACCCCTCCCCACCCCATGGTTCTTACAGAAGGGTTAGAAATGGAGTTTGAGCTCATTGGAATGGGATCTTTCATAAGGATCCAGGAAGCTTTGCTCTACATCCTAGCTCTGCTTAAGGACTGTGTGACTGGGCACATCACTCCTCTTTCCTCGCCTCTGTTTCCTCATCTGTAAAAACGGGGCACTGGAACTTGAACTTCTCCAAGGGCCTTTCCACAGGAATGGTTCCTCACTTCAGGGAGGGGGAAGTGAGGGGAGGGTCCTAGAGACTTCCCAGCTCTCCCTGGTGCCGGGACGCACGGCCTCCCAGGGATGGGAGACGCTCTTGGAGGCCAGCTCTGAGTTTGGACATCTGAAGGACAGGGCAGGCTGGGTGCAGTGTGGGCTGTGGCTACGGGCCAGAATCAACGCCTCCCTCGTCCAGCTTGGCGGACAGGAGGTAGCTCTGGATACCAGGGGCAAGTGGGTGGTTAGGGGGAGACTTCTCCCCCAGATTAAACCATTGGGCGCCTGGTGGTGTGTCTGTGAGTGTGCTTCTGGGGCCTGGCCTCTGCCCATGCTTCTATCTACCTAAGTGCCCAGCAGGCAGAGAGCCAGCTGCTAAAGGAACCAATGCCTGTGAGATACGTTCCCACCTCTGTGTCCCAGGACTGGGGGCGGGCACTGTCATTGCCCCTCAGTCTGCCCAGGTGCTGCACCAACCCAGGTCCTCCCTTCTGGCTTCCCCGCCTCCCTTGATCCTTCAGAATCCCCACGTAATAACCGGATGGGATTAATTAGCTGGCTGCCCTCCCAGCTCAGGGAGTCTGGGATAGGGCCTGGGGACCATAGAAATAGGGGTGGAGGAGAATGCTAAGTGTGAGGTGAAGGGACAGGGACAGGGTTCTGCTTGGAAGGAGAGAGAGTGGGGTCGTGGCAGGCACAGCCTGGGTTTCCACTGGGGAGGGCAGGGGCTGGGCCACTCCTAAAGGTCAGTGAGATTAGGACGATCCATGTCTAATCTGTCAGTTTAACCAGATCCCAGCTCTGAATCTGTCTCCCCCTGCCTAGCTCATGGGCCCCGAATGAGGACAAGTCCCAGACACCACCTCAGACCCCATGAGGGACCTGCCGGATGACAGGGTGCCCGGTTTCTCCATTCTGCTCAGGGTCCTGCACCTGCTTTGGCTGCGAGGCCTGGGAATGAGAGTGGGGTGGGGTTAGGGCCTCAGATGCAGGAGGACTCTGAGAGGAGGGAGGGGAGCAAGAGTATGAGAGGGGGGTGCACCTGAAGTGAGTCGAGTTGGAGAGAAGGGAAAGGACCCTGAGCAGGGGCTAAGGAATCAGAGAAGGTGGGAGGGTGCTGAGGAAAGGGGAGTTGTCCGGGGAGGATGCTACAATAAGGGGAGGAGCTAGATGGCGCCAGGAAGGCGGGGCCTGTGCTTTCACTATATTTGGCCTTTTCCTATTGTCCCATTCTCCTTGACAGGTACCAAACAGCATAATATTTAAAATATATATATATATATTTTTAATTGATTTCAGAAAGGGAGGGGGGAGAGAGAGAGAGAGAAACATCAATGATGAGAGAGAATCGTTGATTGGCTGCCTCCTGCACGCCCCAGTAACCCGGGCATGTGTCCTGATCAGAATTGAACCATGACCTCCAGGTTCATAGGTCAACGCTCAACCACTGAGCCATGCCAGCCGGACCAAATAGTGTAACATTGAAAAGGCAGAATAAGTCTTTTTTGCACCACTTCTTAACTCTGGAGAGGCTGGGGTGGATGGGAGCGGGTAAGAAAAGGGTCTGGAGAACGGAGGAGCCAGAGCGGGAGAAAGGAGGCCAAAAGAAAGGTGAGCCTGGGCGGGTGGAGAGGGGGGAGAGCGACCAAAGGACTTGTATGCATGCATATACGCATAATCAATGAAGACTGACAGCAGAGGGGTGAGGGCATGTGCTGGGGGTGGGAGTGGCCAGGGAGAGGTCAATGGGGGGGAAAGGAGACATATGTAATACTTTCAACAATAAAGAATTTAAATTAAAAAAAAAAGTGAGCCAAAGCTGCTCCCGGTTGCGTGGCAACAGCTGCCGTCAAAAGGAAGCTTGGTTGCTAAGGAGCTGTGGCTCAGAGAACAACCGACAGCTGGGGCCCCGCCCCCTGGAACAAGTGCCGACCCCCAGCAACGCTCCACTAGCAGCGGGCTCGGCGGAAATCGCATCCCGTTGCCCAAAGTCCTGGCGCCGGCGAAGCCCTCATGGCTCCCACGCAGTCCCACCTCCAAGCAATTCCTTTCCGAGGCTCCTCATAGGCGGGCAAGCCAGCCACGTGACTTCTTTTGTTTCAGAGGCGGTGCCCAGCCCTCGGCCCGCAGTCTGATTGGTCCAAGGGACCGTCTATCTCCGGCCGACACTGCTACGCCTGCTCCTTGCGCGCTGATTGGCCCAGGAGAACGGTCCTTCGGCATCGAGGGCGGAGCAGACGGGAGGGCCCGGACTGGATTGGGCGGTGTCAAAACGAGGGGCGGTCCCTACTGGCGGGGCGGTTGGGAGGCGAAGGGAGAGTCTTTTCAGCGCTGAGGACTGGCGCTGAGGAGGCGGCGGTGGCTCCC